CGTTCTTTCCGTGTGCTATTATCTATAATTTTTATCATTACTTTTATCATTGCTTCAAGTTAAAATAAACAACATCGATTAGCTACAAAAATATGCCCTGGATTAGGTACATCGTTAATTATAATTTTCAATTGCTACAATGTGTTATTTCTCTTATCAGAAAATTCCAGAAAATATAAACGTAAAAATTTTTCCGAACTGACATCATCGATAGACTCTTCTCGAAAAAGAGAAAGAAATAGTCGGAAGTGTCGAGCGACTTAGATACCACGTGAAGTTCTCTCGTTCGATTCCCGTCACGTATCCTGTCGCGGCGGTCTGTACGGAGCGAGATGTACTTACCAGGTACCACTGTTCCTTGAAGAGCGGATCCGTGAACAGGTTTTGAAGTGGCACGCCTCTGTTTCTTTGGCGGTGGAACAGGGCGGCCTGCCGCGGACGCGGACCAAAGCCGTGGTAGAAGGGCTGGTAATCGGTGAACGCGTAGGACGCGCCACCGAAGTCGCGCTTCTTGCGCTTCTTCTCATGCTGCTGCTGAAACCAGTGCACCTGCAACCGAAAGCATATACCGGATTCTGTAGCGAACCTTTTCTTGCACCACCGGGTTCTATATGATCGACTTCGAGTTACGTCGTGGTGCTATAAACTTGAATAACTTGGACACCGACCCGAAAGCCATTAGCCGCCAGAATACGTTTTGTTATCTCTCACGTCGTTGCACTAAGTTTCCCACGCGACATTACATGCTGATGTAAACCGGTAACGGTCGCAAATTTTCCGAGGTGTCCGGCGAAATATTTCAACGGTATCGTCAGTCGATTTTTTGCCGGACAAAATATGTTGATTATATAATGGGCAAGTTATATCAAAAGTACGAAAGGCATTTTAGTTTAGTGCCTTTGGATAAAGAATTATGAATTACATGTAATTATAAGCTTTTAATATTGTAATAAAATTCATATAATTAAATGTAATTGCTATAGTATTAGCTTGGCCAATAAGTCCGTGCGGTTTTTTACTTATAAATGTTACTTATAAATAACCGCACGGACTTATTGGCCAACCTAATATATCGAGACATTAATATTCAGAAATAATAAAGGAATTACGATTTAAATTAAAACCACTTATTAGCAATATCTATATGTATACTCCCACTAAATCATCATCACCTTTAACTATTTATTTTTCGAAAGTTATGAAAATTTAGATTTATGACGTTTATATTTTTACAAAATGTATAATGTTCATCATTATGTTTGGTATTATTTCAAAGAATTATTTTGTCGATAATTAAACAGAAGAATTTAATTAAAAAACAGAAAATTTTAATTAAGAGAGAAAAAAATAAAATTGTCTTTTTATCCTTTTTTAAGATATAAAACTATACTCATAAACACCACCCGCTGTTTATCATCCCACTGATTGGCCAAACAACTATACTGCACTGCGATCTGCGTGGAAAATTCACCGGGGCAGATTGACTTAATCGAGGGTCATAAATCGAACAATCACCGAAAAACGCCTCGGGGAACGAGCTTTAATTCTAGTGCACGCCGCATTTCTCCCGTTTCATTCATATCGTCGTGCTGGAGCCGGACACGCAATAATGCGATTCGATGCCCGGTACCGCCGACAGATTCACGAATCTCACGTAATTTTGGCGAGGCTCCAAATACGTCGGAATCAACCGAGTTAGTTTGATCGTATTTATTGAAGGCGCGCGCCAATGCAGAAATTTCTGAAATTTTCAAACTAACACAATGAGTGGAAGATAAGAATTTCGTACACGTGCTGCGCCAAATCGATTATTGAACATGCTAAAAGTCCCTTAAAATCAAACGGTTATGGCAGTCGTGCAGTAAAATAGTAGCAGATGTTGCCGTATTCTCTTATGAATTATAAACAGTTGTGGATAGAATAGAAGTCAAAATGTCAAGTACACGTAATAAAAGAATTCTAACTTATAAAGGAAAAAAGCTTTTGTGATCATTAATTAAGTAATAGTTAGTTTGCAACTGTTTACAGTTAATTTTAATTACCAATATTTATAAATTTCTATTGAAATGCAAATATTATATTTTATGTAGATATAGGTACATTGTGTGTAACGTAAATATTATATACGATGTTTCGAACGAATAAACTATCGAGTCACTCGTTGTTTCGCTGGACGTGAAATATCCGGTTACTTCTTCATGAAAAACTAAATAAAATTTAAACGCCGACATAAATCGTCATCCCGATAGCAAGCTATCTTTCAAAGGAAAATTAGATATATAGCCCAAAATTTTAATTTTTAAAATTTAATTAGTTTATCTAATAATACTAATAAAGAAAGCTGTAAAATTCAGAATACAAACATAAACGTGAAGAATTCTTTATGTGTATAATTACTTATTTTCCTTCAATATTTCAGAAAAAGTTTTTCAAATAATACAAGACATAATACAGTACGCGATGAGAAAAATAAATAAAAAAAATAAGGTGTCAACAATTTATTATGTCTCATTCGCAGTAATTGTTTCGTTTGTATTGATACGAGCCGCGTGACATTTTTCCAACATGAGCAAGTGCAAAATAAAACACACCGCTCGTCTATTTTTTAACGTACAATTAAGCGGTTAACTAAGCGTGCTGCACAATTAATAAGCAGCCAGTCACGATCGCCGGGAGAACGAGAGAGATTTCCCGGTCACGTATCCGTGGCTTTGCCCGCCATAAATCCCGGCGATCTCTGAGCGCGGGACGTTCGGAAAAAAATGTATCTCGCGCGGAAATTACCCCCCGCACGTTCGCCCCGTGCAAATGGCATTTTCCCCGCGATAACGTGTTCCCTGCGAGCGCAGCTCATAATTAATGCTATATCGCGCGCTCCCCCGCGATGCATGCGAAGATCTGCATTTCCTTGTTTCTCTTTCTCTCGTTCCTCCTTTTTTTCTCTCTCTCTTTTCGACACGATATTTTTCCGACCGCGCTTCGTCTACCCTATACTACTTCGTAATTTTCACCCGCGAGAAAGAGCTTATCGAGACGAGGAGACAATGGCGGAAAACGCGGCGACAATATTGTCTCTCGAAACAGTGAGATATTTTGCCACGTCCTCGTGAGAGAAGGGACGACGAGGCTTCACCGAGAGTGCACTTAAAGCGACCACCAGGTATTTCCCGCGCGAGTACTAAAGTGATATTATAGTGAAAAATTCGGAAAAAATCTACAGGTGCAAGGACGGAATTTCATAAACTATTTAGGGCTATGACGGATTTATGATTTATTACCGTAAGCGTGTTTCTTTTCATCAGAGATGATAACATTTGGAAAAATACACACGTTAGAATTATTAGGATTAAATGTTAAAACCAATTTACTGCCGTAAGAAAGTATATCTCGCTTGACGAATTTGTAAAACAAATTTCTATCCTTGCCTATGAATTTTTTCTAAAGTTCAAAGTTTTGCCACAGCGCTAATTAAAATTTAGACCAGAACCAAACAAAAACATGTTTTTGGTCAATCGAAAAAGGAAGGCACATTTCGCGACCCTTTGTGAGGTGTACCGTTACCGTTGAATATTCTGTCACAGTGACAGAATATTTAGTGATAGAAAACTGCATGTAAACGGGAAAATGATTTTTTGAAGGCACAAGAGCTACACATACTGAGAAAAAAGACAACATTTTTATGATGTGACTGTTTATGCAACGCATATTGCATAGCTTGTTTTCAAAACATCTCAATACAAAATTCATCCTTTCTTGCATTTTTTCTGTAGGTTCTATTGACTGTTTCCATATTTTTTTCCAATGTCCTTCCTCTTCCCCAATTCTATTGCAAAAATAAAACAGCATTTTTTTCCCCGATAAAATTAAACAGCGCGATTATAACTATTTCGTAAAGTTAAAATCAATATTTAAAACAATTGGTGCAAATATGCATTTGACCAATTTGGTTATCGAAAAATCATTAAATATCAACAATATTAAATTTTATCTTCAGAAAATTATTACGTTGTCACCTTTGTATAAACCTGAATTTTACAATTCTATCATAGACTTCTTTCGTATCGGACAAACATTCAACTTGCCAGAACGTGCATTTGTCGCGCGATCGTTAGCGTGCCTTGAGCGGAATCGGCCAATTAAGCTGTTTGTCGAAACGCAGGCCGTTTTTGCGCTGACCGATCGTGAAGAGTTCGAGTTTTACCGAGTGATTTAACGGCGCTCGTGGCAATAAATTTTCTGCCCGAAATGATCGTTACAATCGTAGATGTCGGATCGTTAACGCGTCAACTGTCCAATACGTTTGTAAGACGTCTGCTTTTAAATGCAAGATGTATATATATATTTACGATTACAAATATTTTACCCTAATTACTCGTACATATGTTTCTGTCTCTTACGACTGCACGTTTCATCATTTCGTTCCTCACGCGTAAATTTTATGTTAATTATAATTCTTTTTGCCCAAGAACAAAGCCCTTAATACGATAAGAACAAAGTCCTTAATACGATAACAGCAAGCTGATTAAATTTTTCCTTCGTCTCACAGACCTCGTAGTAAATCCACCACGACTCGCGTAAACATCGCGTCTTATTCTCTTTGAGTATAAAGCAAAATCTTGCTCCCGCGTGCATCTCGTAATTAATGTCTCTTAATTAGCAGAATACAAAGATGCGTCGACTTACCCGTGGCTCATCCCTGAGCGCTTTGTGATGCGGTTCGCTCGCAGTGAGGGATCTCTTGTGCAGTCGCTTGTGAGAGAAGAGGTAATAATTCTTCAGGGCGCCGATCTGAAACAGAGAAATGAAGCGTTCTTATTCGCCTGACTTCGAGAGCGTGATTCGAGAGGAACCGGCATCGTGTCCTCGTGCGAACGTAAACATGAAGAGGCAAAAGGGTGCTCGCAAATTTCCCTCTCCCGACTTCACGATGGCGTTTCGATGGTCTTGCGCGACTCGATATCGTTTCGACTCATACAAGTTTGGCGGTAACTCCCGAAGTGTCGTTCCTGAATTATATGACGGAACTTGCTAAATCTCGTCTACATTCATCGCGGTGTTTTCTGCAGACTATAAATATTTCCCCCGACGCGCTCTGCTCGTCCATGAGACATACAATTTCTTTTTTTGTTAATCAAACAACACTAAATAATAATGTAAAATAATCTAAAACTAAATTGATACAAGTTTTGGAAGTATATCATTGAAAAATTATACATCAAAGTTTTCAGATAATATTACATTTATTAATACAATTAATACAAATTATTATTTGTTATGTAATTTCGGTAGCATGCTTCATTAATGTTAACAATATTAAGAATGAATTGGATAGAAACTCTTTCGCTATATCAATAATGATAAAATTATCAGTAACATGAGCATCGATAATTGATTTTTCAAATATTATTTGTCGGTAACATATTCAGTATATCAAAGACTTTTGTTTTTGGATTTAACGAGCAGAGATTACTGAATCGAAAATTAACATTATAACGAACGACATGCACGACGGCGCTTATAACATTGCCTCTCATTTTAGAAGTTTAACGCGATCCATTAGAGATAATTGGCAGCTTATTGAACGCCAGACGGTTTGTAATTATATCTATAGCGCAACACTACGCGACGTTATAGACTGGCGACGTTTCAGTTTGGTCGATGAAAGTGATTGTCGATAATTCTAAGCGTAGCCACGCTCCAATAATGTTACGCGTGTCGAAAATAATTAATAAGCTATTCCAATCGTTGGTCCGCTATTCAGAGATCGCGAATCTTAATTATATCACCAGATATTTATCCAAAATTTATAGTCACAAAAATAGAAGGAGATAATGTTAAAGCTAATAGTGTCGGATATCGTTATTTTCATCTATTCAGTATTAATATTCCGTAAAAAACTAAAGAAAAATTGTCCCTTCTGTCTAGAAAATTTTCTTAAGTCATATATTTTTATTTATTTCTCTTAAGTAAATATACCTTTCAAAATAGGCTAACTGGCCTTAAAGACAAGAACGAAATTTACATTAAATTTAAATTGAAATTAAATAAATTTGAATTTGATCAAAAAAGAGTAAAACTGATATACAATATTGTCCCTCTTACTCTGCGTTACTACATTGTATTCTTTCACACTAAATAAACTGTATGATGCGATGTTTTGCGCAAACAACGGCATGTGTCTATGATTTACAAGCACAGCTTCCAACATTACTCTGATACGATCCGACACTTCAAGAGGAAGTCGTAAGATCCCATAAAGGCTCCCGAAACGGCGCAACTTTCGCCGGCGGAGTTTACCGGAACTTAGCCGGAACGGGAATCAACCAAAACTGCATCGCGCCACGAAGTAGAATCACTTCCTGGAGCTGTTTTTGCGCCGCCGATGCTTTACACGTGTCGCCTACTTGAAATTCTTCCACGGCGCCTTCCTTCCGGAGCCGCGGCTCGAAAATTGAAGAGCAATTCGCAAGGAACTCGGGCGCAATTCGGAAAAAAGAGAGAAAGCGCGCTTTATTTTACCATCGAGTTTTACCCGAAATTTTCGCGGTGAGCTCGAGACAGCTACTTCGACGTTCTTCGGACTTCGCGAGGATCTAAGTAGCCCCAAGAGCGGCAAAGTGCATCACTTGCTACCCTCAATCTCGAGTTATCTTTCGTGTGAAAGAGGATTACTTGCCCTACTTCTTTCACTTTAGCCATTTTTATCTCTTCAGTAACAGCGATGTATATCGTGTGAGTTTATTTGAAAAACTGTGAACTTGCTCTTACCTTATAATAAGACTATACTTCAGAGACTTGAAAATTTTTTCATCTTTTTTTCATTTAATACTTTCCTCGCAATGTTACACTCTATATCAAATTTTAATTATTATCCAACCAATAAATAAATTGTTTTTTTTTCTAAATACAGATTAAAAGAATATTAAGGTCTTATTTACCCAATTTAATTTTGTTTGAAATGTAATTAATCATTTTCAATTGTTTATTTAAACCGTGAATTCTTTAACTTTTTTTGTGCCAAGAATCGACTTCAACATGGTAAAAAATTTCGGCTTGCGTGTATGCCTATGCTTCGAGCTACGCTATAGCGAAAAAGGAGCGAAGCGCGGAAGGAAATGCGAGACTATCGCTATCTCTCGAAGATATTCCGCGGACGTGATGGAGCATGCCTCTCGCCAGTTTCACCAGCGGGCGTTATAACTCGGCTGGCGACGACGCCGGAAGGCCCGTTTCGCATATTTCCGTATTCCGCCGGCAATTTTACGTCCAACTTGTGCACGGCACGCTTGTTGGCTTCATGACGCAAATTTCACAAGGGCGGGTCAAGGACTCGCCCGAGGGCGTCTTCCTTCCGAAGCGCGGCCGAACTGGCGCCCACCAAAATTCTCGCTCGACCATGTGGAATTTTGATAATATTCCCGATTATTTCGCGGCCGTCGGAAACGAGGCGTCGCCAATAATATTTAACTCGAAACTCGAGACACGATGTATCCTAAAACTCTCTATATCTCCGCTTTAGCTCACACGTTTGCAAAATTTTTTTGACAAATCGTAAAATAGTCAATTGATAGATTTACTGCGATAATGGTTTGTAACAGAGAAATCTAAATTAACATTCGACTTAACTTAATTAAAAAATTTTAATTATAATTAAAACAAAATTTAATCAATATATTAAGAGATTTAAGTATATAATATTTAAAAGTTTTTTACTGTCATTTCTATGTAAAAATTCGTCACAGAATTTATGCTGCATTATACATACGGTATCATTTATTAGTAGTTCTAAAATATTTTATATTCCCATCATATAAGTTCTCAAAATTTTGAATTCTCGAATACGCAGACTTCCTCCTATAGATATATTACTAACGATCGACTTTCTTCATGAAGGTGACGACATAAAAGCGAAGTCACGTCGTCGCTACTAAAAATGACAAAGCGCCCAACTTTGACGCGATCCTCCACCGTCATGGAGACTCGGAGACTCTACAGAAGAGAGTTTTCCCCGTGCGTTTGTTACCGGCCCTATGAGTGATAGTCCCCCTCCGACCTGCTTCTCTGGCTCTATGTCATCCGCTCCATTAACGCCTCACTTCCAAGCTGGAGGACAGTGCCATAAAGCGTAGGAAGACGTTGGCGAATTGAACTGATTTGTTTCCGGCGCGATTAGCGTAGAAACTACCGCGTGAATCTTCAGATCGTCGCCGCCTTTGTATAACGTTCCATTGTGAACGAATTCACCCAGCACGAAGTGACTCAATCTGAACGACTGCAGGTGACGTCAATTAAAAAAAAACATACAAAATTAGTAATTAAAAAAATCAACAAAGTATACGCGTAACGTTCTCGGTCGATTTTCGCGATGCAATTCTCGGTAGCGGGATCGAATGTAAGATTAAAGTAAATCAGTTGCCGAAAGACGGTAAAGTTTCCCTGGCGATGATCAACGTTTCCTTCGAGCGTGAGGTGAAATCGTGCGTCACTCGCGGCGTTAGCCAAATCCTCGATCCGCGCCGACCTTGGCGATCTTCCTAAAATCCCTTAAATCCATCCGGTAGCTTTCCGGAAGCGATAGTGCCGTCGCGTTCTCGCTCGCGTTCTCCGACGCGCCGCCGGTAATCCCGATAGGAGATACTCGTCGCGGCAGCTGCGCACGGGCAGGAGTAAAAAGACGAGCTAGAAAACGGATGAGAACGAGGGTGCAGGAAGCGGAGGTGGGAACCGGCATAGAGCGGAGCACAATGCAGCGCAATTTATTAATACTCTGGGACTCGTAGCGCCCTTAGGAGTAAACGGTGAAATAGATATGCCAGCCGAGGCGGGCGAGCGAGCGAGCGAGATCTGTTATAAGCCTGAACGGAAATGTCAGGACAAAGCGTCCTGTATACGGAACGTACGGAACGGGCGCAATCTGCGAGAAAATTGTGGTACAACCAAGCGCGGAAAGACGTCAATTGTACCGTAAAACAAAACGTTTTTCACTTAATTTGACATGTACTTCGCGTCTGAATGGAATTCTAATTTAAAAGTTAGTTACAAATACACCTCGTCGGGTGGAGGGCGTAATAGCTATCGAGAAAGACCGATGCAGATGATCAAGTTTTAATCAAGTAAAATCGTAAATTATATATTTAAAAAAAATTACATTTTTACGAATTTAATTAATTTCAGATCCTAAAGGAATTACGGATTTAAAGCTGCCTCGTCATTTATTTTTATCACCTTAGTAAAAAAAAAACATTGAAGACACGTCAAAGGGACGTCCAGTCATTAAAGATTAATATAGTAGGAGTCGGATAGCCCGTAGCGGAAGCCTCTTACTCATACATATACGTAGACACTCATACATACGTTCTCGTGTATTTTTTGAAAGCTGACCCACGCCGTTTTCAGCGTGACTAACTTCTATAAGGATTTCGCGAACGTGTATGGGCGAGGAAAAATCTGACGGCGGACGATAACTACGGCAAACTTAATTGTAACATCAAGATGATTTCTTTCAGGGAGCTGAACGCGCTTTGATGGCGTACTTAAATCCACTTTATTTATCGAGCCCGAGCTCCCGCGGGATTCAGTACGTCACGGCGCGGAGTCATAAGATCTAAAGAAGAGATAGAGCGAGCGATTCATCATCCCGTGTCTGCAACAAGCTCGCGTTAAGGCGCGTGCACACTAACCCGAAATGTTGCTCTAGCGTGCTCTGAATTATTAAAAGTGATCGCCTAAACTAGTTAATCTACAAGAGGGGGTTTCATCCTCAGTTAATTTTCATCTTAATTTGATCA